CTTTAATTCTCTTGTACTAGCAAATCTAATTACAGATATCTTTAAAAAGATTGCAGCTGTGTAATTGCTTTTTTATGTTCCAGATCTCTTGATTCTCATTCAGAATGAATTTATTATAAATTTGTTGACATTTTTTTTATTTCTTGTCGATTGAAGCTGGCTTTTGACCGCAGTATGGAGACCTTAACTTGGGGAAAGAAAGCTGGGGATAATTTGATTTTAACCGGTACAGCTGATCTCCTGGTTGTACCATATTCCTATGCCTGCTTATATTTTTCCTTTATTTATGTCTTAACTATTGCTTATATTCTTAAGCTGCTTCTTGGATGTGAGTCAGAAGAATTACTGTTTTGAATTGAAAGCAACAAAAAGAAGCAAGGCTGTCCTATTGTGAATATTTCCTTTCCATGTGCTGCATATCCTCAGATAGCAAGAAAGAAAAAGAAGAGAAAACAATTTCCTTCCTCTATACATTATTCAAAGAAATAGTTGTTGGGTGGAGTTTTCTCAGTGGCATATATACTCATATGCAAATGTCACTTGTCTCCGGAATTCTACTGTGTTAGGTGTCTGTTTAATGTTCCATCTACTTTCATTTATTTATATAGAACAAAAATAAAACTCAAGGGTTCAAATAAGAAAACAAATGAATAAGCATCACTGAGTTAACTTAATGGATGTAATTGGCCAAGAAGGCTAAAGATTGTTCACTTATTTCTCTAAAATATTACAATATCAGATTAGTTCCCTCTTTGTGCTTGTTTATTTCATAATGCATATAGTAGTACAAGCATTTGCACTGAAACAATTGAGAGTGTGAATCATTTGGATGCAGCTGCAGCTGAGATGAATTTCTCCCGGAAGATGCGGAACCTGGTGACTAATTTATCATGAGGTGGGAAGTTTTCTTTAATAATTGGAACACCTGAAAAGTCTTGCAACCAACCTGATAACCGAGGAAATCTCTGCTCATCAACAATTTTGATTCCGTTTACCTCTTCCATAGCACCGAGCATGTTAGTAAGCCAACCCAATGCAAGATCCACAAACCCAATCTTGTCTCCACCGAAAAATTTCTTTCCTTGCAGCTCTTCTTCTAAGAACTTCAAGTTTTCAGTGGCTGCAGCCAGAGCTTCCTCTTGCTCTGGACCTTGGCTTGTAAATGAAGACCACATTCTTGCCAGCACCTGATGGAATCAATGTACAGGTAAATACATACGAGGTATATACACATATATTTGATCGAAGTAAAGCCTTGTTCGTGTACCTTATCATCCCCAAATGTTGCCCAGAAGCGTGCCTTGGCTCTGTCATGAGGATCTTGTGGCAGCAAAGGATACTGCTTCCATGTCTCGTCAATGTACTCGATGATGACAAGTGATTCACACAGTGGTTTGCCGTTGTGAATGAGGACAGGGATCTTCTTGTAAACAGGATTTGATTGAAGAAGAAGAGGACTTTTGTTGGAGAGATCTTCTTCTATTGTTTCATACTCTATGCCTTTGAGTTTCAATGCCCACACCACTCTTAAACTAAATGGGCTTGACCATTTCTGCAACAGCTTCACTTCTTCCCCCATACTTCACTGCCTTGCATATGTATATCTCCTTCCCAGAATTGCTATACATATATATATATATATGTGTATATGTGCGTGTATATATATATATATATATATAAATAATGAAAGCTGCGAAATCTACATGGGGAAGATTGAGAGTGCCAGGTGGAGCTCATATGGGCGGCATCTTGGATCTATCATTGTCTACCAGTCAAAAGTCTCATGCCAAAATAAGAGATAAGGAGAATTGTAACGTCAGTGCTCAAGTAATGTGTGTGTAATATATGATATGAATATAATTTTCTGTTTGACTTTTAAGGTTAATCAATGATTTACTAATTAATCATTTTAATGGGGACACAAATTGATTTAGATAAACATAAAATCTTACCTTTAATGACATGGGAGTAAGAGGTCAATTTACAATTCCACAAAAATTTTACACTGGAGTTTTGAATTGAATTATAATTATGTAGAATAAGAATCAAAATGTAAATATCTATATATATATATATGATAAAAATTTAAATAAAATAATATTGAAATTTTAGGCACATTTTTTTATATAATAGATTTTAAGTTAAAATTATTGTACTAAATTAGCAATACAGATAAAGTTTATTCAATTATTTATCGTATGTGTAAATTATGAATAATTTTTATAAATCAAATAAACCAAATCTAAAACTTAGAAGAAGAATATAGTACATTATGATTTATTAATATGAGAGTTTTTATGAGTCGAGCAAACATTTGAAGTTTATGTTTAAGAGTGGATTAACTAAGAAGAAAGGCTTGGGTCGGACTTGGAAGCCAACGAAGAAAGGAGATCGAATTCATTAGTCCAAGGGTCTCGGTTACAAAGTTTAGTAGAGTGATGAGAGATACGAGAACTGATCTCGATGAAACGAAATAAAAAGCTCGTTATTCATCGAGGCCCAAAAGCCGAATGCAAGATGAGGATACCAATTCATTTGATGATTCGCTTACTATTTAATTTAAATAATGCAACGACAACAATAATTATATTTAAACAACGGAGTAAATATCCGAATTAACCTTTTATACTACTCAAAACAAAAGAGTGCAAAAAAAAATACTAATTAACCCCACATGCATGCCTAATTAATAACTCAGAAAACTTAAATACTAACAGCCCAAATCAAAAAATACATCCGTTTATATGTATATATATCTGCGCAAATATTGGGAATCATGTTTTATTTTCTGCTGCTGGCTTCTGAACTGCAAATAGTGGGTAATGTTGGTGGAATACTGTTTAAAGTAGTTATCATAGAAATGAACTGGAGTTCTTCCATGCAAGGAGTTGGCTGGAATGGTGGTGGCGAGCTGGGTATATGAATGATGGGTGGCGATCTTCGTGGAGGTGGAGGTGGTGACGGCAGAATCTTCTCATAATCTGCGGAGTCGTCGCGGTGACGATCACTCCGAATTTCAGCTGGCTTGATCGGAGATGGCTGCGAGTTTCTTGTTTCATCGATAATCTCGCCTAGATTTCCTGCTAATTCACGTTATAAATGAATAAATATTTATCAGGATTAAGTTTATCTACGTGTAGATTATTTACGTATACTATGTGTATAGTCTATATATGAAGATCAAGTATAAATACATATATATGTATACATATATTTACGTATATCTAATGTATATAGTTTCTTGTTTCATCAATAATCTTGTAATTCAGTATTTAACATGAAGTAAGATTTACAACGAGGAGTACGAAGAACTTCGAAAGTACTGTATAAAATATCAAGATTAAGTTTGCGTACGTACTTACGTGTGTGTGTATATATATATATATATATATATTTTTTTTTTTTTTTCATGTGTGTATGTATGTAGTCTATGTATTACCATCACAATCTCTAATTACCTGCTAAAATTCTTCCTTGAGCAGAAATGATTAAAAGCGCAAAGAATAGAAACCATCTAACCACGAGAGCAGCCATTGCTGAAGTTATACTTGTATGTAGCCTCTTATCATTTACGTTGCACGAATCAATATACTTACCTATATATATACATATACACATATACATATATAACTTATTCTTCCCCCGCGTCTCCTCCCCCACCACCCCTCAATTAAAATAGAAAGGAAAGTTCAAACGTAGGTGCGCAGAAATATATTATCAACATATTAATCTAAAGAATATGCACATGATATAAATATAAATATAAATTTGTGATGACAAGGTATGAAACTCTTTCTCATCCAAATTTTCAAAATGGTTTGAATATAAAAAAATATATAAATAAACATAGTAAGTTTATATTATTTAAATTATATATATATATATTTAATAAAACAGAATATAATGAATTTGATGAAATATTATTATTTGATTTAGTAAAGTATAACAATTATTATTATAAGTATATTTTAGTTTATATACTTTAATTTTATTGAATATAATGTAAATAAAAACAAAAAAGTTTGATTTTAAGTCAATTCTATGTTTAACAAGTCAAACCTTCTTACTTTGACTTCAGTTTTAAAAGACTAGAATGGGAAATGATTCACTTTATTTTTTGACTAATTATTAAATATATTTTTAATTTTAATATTATATTTTTTATATGCTTAAATTATGAAATTAGATAAATAATTTTTATATTTTATTTATCTTCTATTTGATAATTTTGATGTTGTTTTTTTTTTTTTTTTCCAATTTGTAGTGAATACATGTTATATTTATTATTTTTTAATTTTAAAATATTTAAATAATTAATTAAAATATAAATAAAAAATTTTAAATATTAATTAATGTAAAATATAATTTAAAATAATATTTAAATATAATACTCAATAATAAATATTATGAATATTTACAATATTAAATATTTAATTAATTTAATCTAAATATAATTTAAAAATAAAACTCAAAATTTATTAAGTTTATAGGCCTAGGTTGGGTCAGGTTACCGGGTAAACCCGCCGCGCTGCTGATCTACAGCAGTAGCTCCTTCTTTCTCTCTGGAAAGTGCAGAGCAGGACTGACACGCCATTTTTGGGTGAGGTAATTCTCAATCTCCCTGATTTTTTCTTTCAGAATCTTGCTTAAGCCCAATAGTGACTATCGAAGGGAACTGCTATGTGGTACGGTTTAGAACTGAAACTCCGTTGAATTTGTATGATGTTGTCGCATTGTTTGAATCTTGTGGTAGGGATGAGTTAAATTGAATGCTCAGATATGAAATTTTGCTTATTTATGTGTCATTAATTGCCTACTTTTGCATAATATTTTGACAAGGATTATAGAAAGTCTGAATACTGACGTGAGGTAATGTGAATCTGCCTTCAGAGAGGGAGTCTCTGTTTGCATGTGTTTTATTTTTTTTCCTAGTTAAACGAATTAATTCGTTTAAGCTGCTAATCAGGTTTGTTTGTGGATCTTCTAGTTCATATTGGACTTATTAGGCTATGTCTGGAATAAATGAACAATTTCTGTTCATTTAAAATTTTATACTTAATTTTAGGTCAAGAAAAAAATTCTCATTCAAAATTGTAAAAATTGGCAGCCTATAGAATTTCAAGTGAAATTCAAACAGTCTATCTCAGGTCTTCTTTTTGAAGGTAAAGCTGGTATTTATTTCAAAAAAATAACAATGTAAAGCAGACTGCACCTTTATATCCTACTGCAGTCAAAAAACAAAACTTTACACTTGGATAAACCTGGAGATTCTGCACAGGCTTAGCTCAAAATGCAGACTGCAAATTCCTGGTTTAACGTCACCTTACACAGCAGGCTGCAGCGAGAACAGATTTTTGCTCCAAACTAGCAAAGAAAACACAGATTGCAGAATGCAAAATTCTGGTTTCACTGCCAGCATCCGTAACAGGCTTCATAAAACATATTTTTGTTCCAAGCCAAACAAAAGAATGGATTTCAAATGACCGCTTAGAATTCGTTCTTTTTAATTTCACTCAGAATTTTTTATTATGCTTTTATCATTTTGGCACAGAATTTTTTTCTTTTCATATTTTTGTTCCTTTAGATGAATCCCAAAGATAAATTTTATTTGTTCTAAACATCGCCTTAGAATACAATTTTACTTGGATCGAACTTTTACTTGCTTTAAGCATTAGTTTCAGACTTAACTAACAAAAAAAGCCAAATCTTGTACTTTAAGTAGTATATGGGCTTGAACAAATTGGCTTGAATTTTCAACTCCACCTTCAGAAAATCATCTTATTCCGGTTCTTGTTAGTTGTTTTGGCTGCTGTTGTCTTGAGTTTCTTATAATGTTTTGTTGGTTGTTTGGCATTTTTGCTACAATTATGTTATATGCATTTTTTTGCTAACTGGTACTCCTATTTCAGATATACGACACTAGCTCACATTCTTTGTAATTTGCACGGGTGATCTAATACTTTGTCATTGTATAGTGTCATTTTACTCCAAAATTCAACAGAACAAGTTTGAAGTTTTGCAAATGAATCAGGAAGTTGGAGATCACCAGGTAGAGAACTAGAAATCCCAAGGCTACAAATACCTGGAGGGTTTAAGTTGACAAACGATGAATTTTGGCCGCTTTCAAGGAAGCCATACTTGCATTTTATTATTTGGAGGACACACGTCAGACCATATTATCTGCTGGTATTTAAATAGTCATTTTCAGAGTTGAAATCACATTTAGATCTTTGAAACTGGGGAAAATGGAAAAGAGGAAAAAGAATTAACTGAAAAGGTGAAATTTACTTAAAATCACTGATTTCCTGTGTCTTCCTCTTTTAGTACTCTGATCTGCTGATCCTAAGTTTCTTATTTGGTGCATCAGAGAACTTTACTAGATTAGTCTGTCTTTCTAATAGTTTAATTTCAGCGGTTACTAGCTGCAAGTTACAATAACAATCTGTTCAATGGGCTCATTACATTTTCAGTGGTGCTGCACTTGTAACCTTTCTAGTATAGGTTTTGGTGTATTGTGGTTCTTGTTGCTTCTTCATAGGTTTTGGTGTGTTGTGGTTCTTGTTGCTTCTTTACAACACTGTGCCTGAGTAGGGAGTGCTAGACATAGTAGAAAACAACATCAATAGTTTGGTGTAGTGCTTATTCCAGTATCATGCTTAAAATCTTCATTTGCCAATGTCAGGTTCCTCCAGCCCAAACTGCAGCATTTTCTCCCAACTGAAGCAATCCTACTATTCTCACATACAAGAGTAAGAGTTGGGAAATTGTTTACCATGGAGAACATAAACAACCTAAAATTTTTGACAGAAACTGGAAACATTTTGTGGTTGACAATGGGTTTAAGGTTGGAGATGCTTGTGTATTTGAGCTTATGGAAAACACAAGAAGATTCTCAAATTCAAAGTTCACATTCTCAGAGTTGACATTCTGTTATCCATACTTGTGGCCGTGTATGGGACTTGAAGCAGGACAAATTTGCTCATGACTTAACGGTGAGAATTGGGTATGGATGTGACATTACAGCAGGCAATATTCTTATTGATATGTATGGAAAGTGTGATGACCTATTAGCAGCACATGCAGTATTTGTGGGAATGGAACAGAAGGATTCCGTGTCTAGGAATTCATTGATCAGGGGCTATAGTAAAAGTCGTAAATTTGAAGAAGGGTTAAAACTTTGTATTAGCAACCTAGAAGATAATGAGGTTGACACAAATGTTCCCTGTTCACTTTATTTCTCTTTTACTAGCAAATCTAATAATAGATATCTTATTTTAAAAAAAAAAGATATCTTAAAAAAGCTTGCAGCTGTGTAATTTTTTTAATGTTCCAAATCCCTTGATTCTCATTCAGAATGAATTTATTATAAATTTGTTGACATTTTTTTATTTCTTGTTGATTGAAGCTGGCTTTTGACAGCAGTTTGGAGACCTTAACTTGGGGAAAGAAAGCTGGAGATAAATTTGATTTTAACTGGTACATCTGATCTCCTAGTTAAATACCATATTCCTATGCCTGCTTATATTTTTTCTTTATTTATGTCGTAACTATTGCTTATAATTTTCCTATTATGTTTGTGTATGTGTTACTGGCCCTAAGCTGCTTCTTGGATGTGAATCAGAAGAACTATTGTTTTGAATTGAAACCAACAAAGAGAAGCAAGGCTGTTCTATTGTGAATAATTCCTTTTCATGCACAGCTTATCGCCGAAAGCAAGAAAGACAAAAAAAAAAAAAAAGAGAAAACAATTTCCTTTCTGTGTACATTATTTAAAAAGTAGTTGTTGTGTGGATTTTTCTCAGTGGCATGTATAATCCCATGCAAATCTAACTTGTCTCCACAATTTTACTGTATTAGGTGTCTGTTTAATGTTCTATTTACTTTCATTTATTAATAAAACAAAAATGAAACTCAGGGTTCAAATAAGAAAACAAATGAATAAGCATCACTGAGTTAACTTAGTGGATGTAATTGGCCAAGAAGACTAAAGATTGTTATTTTATTTCTCTAAAATATTACAAATATCAGATTAGTTTAGAACACAGATCCTTCTGTTTCACTCTTTATGCTTGCTTATTTTCAGAATGGATATGGTAATACAAGCATTTGCATTGAAACAGTTAAGAGTGTGAGTCATTTGGATGCAGCTGCAGCCGAGATGAATTTCTCCTTGTGGATGCAGAACTTGGTGACTAATTTATCATGAGGTGGTTAGGTTTCTTTAATAACTGGAGCACCTGAAAAGTCTTGCAACCAACCTGATAACCGAGGAAATCTCTGCTCATCGACAATTTTGATGCTGGTTACCCCTTCAATAACTCCAAGCAAGTGAGCAAGCCAACCCGATGCAAGATCCACGAACCCGATCTTGTCTCCACCAAAAAATTTCTTTCCTTGCAGCTCTTCTTCTAAGAATTTCAAATTTTCAGCAGCTGCAGCCAGAGCTTCCTCTTGCTCTTGTCCTTGGCTTGTAAATGAAGACCGTATTGTTGCCAGCACCTGATGGAATCAACGAACAGGTAAATACATACAAGGTTCATACATATATACATATATATATTAGTTCCACCAGCTTTAACAGAACTGATCAAACTAAAGCATTGTTTGTATACTTTATTGTCTCCGAATTTTGCCCAGAAGCGTGCCTTGGCGCTGTCATGAGGATCTTGAGGCAGCAAAGGATACTGTTTCCATATTTCGTCTATGTACTCAATAATGACAAGTGACTCAAACAGTGGGTTTGCCATTGCGAATGAGGACAGGGATCTTCTTGTAAACAGGATTGAGTTGGAGAAGAAGAGGACTTTTGTTGGAGAGATCTTCTTCTATTGTTTCATACTCTATGCTTTTGAGTTTCAATGCCCACACCACTCTTAAACTAAATGGGCTTGACCATGCCTGCAACAGCTTCACTTCTTCCCCCATACTTCACTGCCTTGCATATGTATCTCCTTCCCAGAATTGCTACATGTGTGTGTGTATAAATAGTAGAAGCCAAATCTCAAGGGAAAGATTCGAGAGTGCCTGGGAGAGTTCAATTGACTTTGATGCATCACTCGCATGAATGGCTTCTTGGATCTATCATTGTCTGCCAGTCAAAAGTCCCATGCCAAAAGTAAGAGGTAATTATAATTGTAACGTCAGTGCTTAAGTAATGTTTATGTAATGTATGATATGAATATTATTTTATGTTTGACTTTAAGGTTACAATGAGATTAGTACAAAATAAACTAATTAGTACAAATACATCATCAGTGCAGTAGTTTAGATACTAACATTTTACTTGAAGATAATCAGTTTGAATTTTACTAAAAATATAGAATTTATCATTTTATGAATTTATTATGAATTGATTGTGTTAATTCATGTGTTCAGAATTTATTTTATCAGTGTGTTGATAAAATAAAGTGATCAAATTTGACTTTATTCTAGTGAATGATTACAATTCTGGCAAAACATACATTATATAATGACTAAGTTTTCTTTTTATTAGTGGATTTAAACTTTACGTAGTAAAAAAAAAAAAAAGAAAAATTATATATATATTTTTTGGAATGGATAGAACAAACTCTTGTTACAGTGATTATATATATATATATATATATATGCATTTTCATGCATCACTTCATTCTCATCCTTCTTTTCAATTCTTGTTCTTGCAAAATTTTGCAGCAATTAGAGGCTATTATTTAATTGACAAGGACATGCATGTATATTTTTAAAAGGCATGCTGTAAGATCATCATTTTAGAGGCTTATTGGATGTGAGTCAGAAGAATTGTTGTTTTGAACTGAAACTAACAAAGAGAAGCAAAGGCTGTCCTATTGTGGATATTTCCTTTTCATGTGCTGCTTATCTCTGAAAGAAAGAAAGAAAAGAAAGAAAAAACAATTTCCTTTCTATGTACATTATTCAAAAATATAGTTGTTGTATGGAGATTTCTCAGTACACAAATCTCACTCGTCTCCACAATTTTACTGTATTAGGTGTCTGTTTAATGTTCCATCTACTTTCATTTATTTATATAAAACAAAAATGAAACTCGGGGTTCAAATAAAAAAATAAATGAATGTGCATCACTAACTTAACTTAATGGATGTAATCGGTCGAGAAGGCTGAAGATTGTTCTTTTATTTCTCTAAAAAAGTACAATATCAGATTAGTTTTGAAAACATATCCTTCTGTTCACTCTTTGTGCTTGCTTATTTTCAGATTGCATATAGTAATACAAGCATTTGCATTGAAACAGTTGAGAGTGTGAATCATTTGGATGCAGCTGCAGTCGAGATGAATTTCTCCTGGAGGATGCGGAACTTGGTGACTAATTTATCATGAGGTGGGAAGCTTTCTTTAATAACTGGAGCACTTGAGAAGTCTTGCAACCAACCTGATAACCGAGGAAATCTCTGCTCATCGACAATGTTGATGCCGGTTACCTCTTTCACAACACCAAGGAAGTTAGCAAGCCAACCCAATGCAAGATCAACGAACCCAATCTTGTCTCCACCAAAAAATTTCTTTCCTAGCAGCTCTTCTTCTAAGAAGTTCAAGTTTTCAGCGGCTGCAGCCAGAGCTTCCTCTTGCTCTTGTCCTTGGGTTTTAAATGAAGACTGTATTGTCGGCAGCACCTGATGGAATCAACGGACAGGTAAATACATACAAGGTATATACATATATATTTGATCGAAGTAAAGGATTGTTTGTGTACCTTATCATCTCCAAATTTTGCCCAGAAGCGTGCCTTGGCTCTGTCATGAGGATCTTGTGGCAGCAAAGGATACTGCTTCCATGTCTCGTCAATATACTCAAGGATGACATGTGACTCACACAGTGATTTGCCGTTGTGAATGAGGACAGGGATCTTCTTGTAAACAGGATTTGATTGAAGAAGAAGAGGACTTTTGCTGGAGAGATCTTCTTCTATTGTTTCAAACTCTATGCGTTTGAGTTTCAATGCCCACAACACTCTTAAACTAAATGGGCTTGACCATGTCCTCAAGAGCTTCACTTCTTCCCCCATACTTCACTGCCTTGCATATGTATATCTCCTTCCCAGAATTGCTATATATATATATGTGTGTGTGTGTGTGTGTGTATAAATAATAGAAGCCAAATCTCGAGGTTTCGATTCCAGAGTGCCAGGGGGAGCTCAATTGACTTTGATGCATCACTCACATGGGGGGGCAGCTTCTTGGATCTATCATTGTCTACCAGTCAAAACTCTCATTCCAAAATGAGAGATAATTAGAATTGTAACGTCAGTGCGTAGGTAATGTTTGCGTAATGTATGATACGAATATAATTGTATGTAAGACTTTAAGGTTACAATGAGATTATTACAAAATAAACTAATTAGTGAGAATAAATCCCTTGTGCAGAAGTAAATAAGTATGAAATCTATGTTTGATGATACGAGAGTAAGAGGTCAACTTACAATTCCATCAAAAGATTTATACTAAATATATATATATAGTGGTAAAAAGGTTAAATAAAATAATACTATAATTTTAAATTAATTATTACTGTAAATTAAAGATATGAACAGAATTTATTTAGTTATTTATTAAGCGTGATATTGCATTTCTATATGTTGTAAGAAGGATAGTTATATTGATTTGGTATACTGTAAAAATATTTTTGTTACAATATTGACGATCTCACAAAGATTAAATTTTAGTGAATTTTCATTTATTGATCTCATCTTTTACACAATCAATATAAAGTTCAGAATACATGAAAACACACGGTGAATATTTTTTTGCCGATATTATTATCAGTATTTAATATTGGTTCATTTATTATATTATTATAACTTTTTTATTCATTGAGGGTTAGTTATTTGTTAACACGGATTTAACTTACGATGTATTTAAAAATTCTCATTCAAAAGAATATTTTATAGAGAGAGCCGACAAAAAATTTTATTAATAACCAGTCGTTTTGATTCTTTAGAACAAGTTAATAAATTTAATAGATTTTTTTAAAATCTAAAAAAAAAAAAAAATATCGTAGATTTAAATAATCTGATAAATATTTCACTTGATCTTTTGTATACTAAAAAAAAAAGTACAAAACAAAAACACTAATTAGCATGCTTAATTAATAACTCACAAAACTTAAATAATAACGGTCCATATCAAAAATACATCCATATATATATATATATCTCTTTTCATAAATACTGGGAATCATGCTTTATTTTCTGCTACTGGCTTCTGAGCTGCAAATAGTAAGTGATGCCGGTAGAATATTGTTCAAAGAAGTAATTATAGAGATGAGGTAGGGTTCTTCCCTGCAAGGAGTTGGTTGTAATGGTGGTGGTGAGTTGGATATCTGAATGATGGGTGGTGATCTATACGGAGGCGGAGGTGGTGACGGCAGACGCCTCTCATAATCCATTAAGTCGTCGTAGTGACGAGCACTCCGAGTTTCGATTGGCATGATCGGAAATGGTAACGAGTTTCTTGTTTCATCAGTAATATCATACAGATTTCCTGCTAATTCACGTTATAAATGAACATATATTTATCAACAACAATGATTTTGAAAGAAATTCTATTAAGTTGAGTTTTACAACATTGTTTTGATACTGTTCATGTGCTAACTGAGCACTCCTCAAAAATGCTGTATAACATATCAAGACTAAGTATACATACATACATATTTATTTATAGTATAAGTGGCTTCTTTATAGAGAAAATTGAACTATTTCCGACTTTTTTAGAAGAAAAAAAGTAAAAAACAAGTTATACATATATGCATATATATATATATATATATATATAGTCTGTATAATTACTATCAAATCTCTAGTTACCTGCTAAAATTCTTCCTTGAGCAGAAATAGCTAAAACCCCAAAGAGCAGACACCATCGAAGGACGTGGGCAGCCATTTTTGAAGTTATACTTGTATGTGACTACTTATCAATTATGTTGCACAAATCAATATAATTACCTATATCTATATATATATATATATATATATATGTATATCTTATGCCTCCACCCACCCCAATAGAAACTTCGAATATATTTTTATATACAAAAATGCTGTTGGGTCAATTATTTCTTTAACTAATTACAAAAAAATTATATTATTTACGTACTTATAATAATATCAATTTAAAAAGTACACATAACACAAAATTTTGAAAAGACATATAGAATATTTATAGCCCACTATTTAAATTCACATCTTCATTAAAAAAAAAAAAAAAAAGATTAGAATACACATCATATATAATTGATGTGGTCAATAATATTAGCCACTATGTTCAATAGGTCATGTAATATGAAACTAACAAAATAAATATATTAGTTATATAATAATAATAATAATTATATAGCAACAATTTAAAGTCTATAGTTTATAATTACAAAGATTTATATATTTTTTTTAATCTTAACTAGAAAAATTAAATAACATAAGACAGAATCTGTGACTAAATTCTTGTTCACTTTTAATAGAGAATATATTATTAATTAATGAAGTAAGACTTGCTGATATAACTATTTTTTATTTATTTATTTATTCTCATGCAATGCAATAGAATTTAACAACCAAGTTGACATTTGTCAAACAACGATATATATGTATATGTATATGTATATAATGTAGTACACCAAGTTGATATATTTTCAAAGATTTTTAAGTATGCATACGTACCCATTATATTATTCTTGGGCGAAGAAGAAAAATCAATAAGCAATTTGCAATTAAAATTTTCTAATATTATTCTTGGCCGATGCTTTCAATTTATTATTAAAATCAGAAATTAAAAATATAATTTTAGTTGAAATTTTCAAAGAAAAAAGAACGTTAATTAACATTAATAATTCTTTAAAAAAATGCCGTGCCACACAGTACAAAATAGTATTCTATTTTATATTTATTTATTGGATTAATTAACATTAATTTTACTTAATTAATTTAAGGACAAATCACAAACTACCCAAAATTTGTCTTAGTCCATATAACCCACCCAAATCCCCATTTTAAACAAAACAAAATTTTTATTGAGTGTTATGTTATTTGAATTAAATATTTTTAATATCCGTTAAATTTTGACAAGTTAATTCACTATCAGGGCAGTATATAATTTATCAATCTACCCGACATAAAATAAAATAAATAATTAAATTATTCTTATTTGTTTGCCAAATAAACTCTAAATATTTTGTAGTTAAATTGCCAAATAAACTAAATATTTTTTTTTTTTTTAGTATTCTGTATATATATATATACACACACACGTATATATACATATATATATATATATATATCTTCAACATTTTTCTTTCTCCCCCAGGTTTTTTTTTTCTTCATGCATACACTGCACGCACACATCCTTTTATTTTATTTTTATGGTTTCACTAATTATGCTAATTTAGTGTTTGACATAGAAGAAAAAAAATAAAAGTTACTAATTCTTAATTCAAAAAATATTAAGAAGTATGTGCATGTGCAAAAACAAATGGTATTAGTGAGTTGGTGGTAGACAGTATTCTGCCGGGGTGCAGGTTCCGGGTTCGAGTCCTGACCTTAATTTCAAAAGTTTAGGTTGGGATATGTGACTAATTTCATTTTATTTTTGACTAATTAATTATATAAAGTGTTAATTTTAATGTTATGTTTTTATATGCTTAAATTATGAAATTAGATATGCAAGCCTAGATAAATAATATATTAAGACTAATCTAGACTGTTTAACATATCAAGACTAATCCTTCCAACAATATAACATTGAGATGGAAGTTGAGCATCAAAAGACGTTTAATCCTTCCAATGTGGCAATTGTGTTGCGCATGGGATCAAACCCAAGGAAAACAAGCTTAATTGTGCCAAGCAATTTAAGAAAGATCGGTGCCCCTTTCAAGCCAATGGACCTAAAGGTGGTGTGACTAAACAGTATTAGGCTAAGGGTCATAGAGAAAAAAATCTAGCGTTATGAAGTGCTATAACTGCGGCAACAAGGTTCATTTCGTTTGTGATTGTTTCGAGCTGAAGAAGGTACATTTCTTTATTTTACCTCTTGATTTATTTGTTTGTTCTCACGCATTAGTTGCTAATTCTTTTCCGAATTGGATTGTATACACGGGAACAAGCAAACATGTAGTTCAAGATTGAGCTAGATTTGTGAACTACTATCATGTCCTAATGGGTTCGCAAACTGTTGTATTAGGCAATGACAATGAAGATGATGTCCTTGGAATCGGAACATAAAGGCTTAAGCTACATGAATGAAATACTTTACTCCTTCATGATACTCTCTATGTACCTGAGGTGCAATGTTGTTTACTTTCAGTTGTTTCCTTATTGAGAATGGGTTTCTTCTTTAACTTTAAACTTGGTACTTTAAACATTTTATATCATAGCAATGTATTTGGTCATGGGCCTTTAAGAAATAATTTTTTTGTTCTTGACTTAGAAGATAATATATAATAATTCTATGCTTGCTTATGTTTCTCACTTGATTGTGATTCTGAATCTGTTAAGTGACATGCTAGACTTAGCCATATTAATCAAGATCGAATGAGTAAACTGGCTAAAGAAGGTCTTTTAGACTGGCTTACTAAAGTTAAATTGTCTAAATGTGAGTCATGCTTAGTCGGTAAAACGAGTAAGAAGCCTTTTGGTAAGGCTTCAAGGTTGTCACGTCTCTTAAAATTAATCCATTCTGATAGTTACGAACATTTAAATATCAAACGTCATGGTGCCATATACTTTTTCACTTTTATAGATGACTATTTACGATATACATATGTGTATCTAATTTTTCACCATTATGAAGCGTTAGGTGTGTTCAAACATTTTGTAGCAGAAGTAGAAAATCAAATGGATTGAAGAATAAAGACTCTTCAAACCGATCGTGGTTGTGAATACTTTTCTGATATGTTCAGAGAATATTGTGAGAAAAAGGGTATACGTAGGCAACTTACAATTTCTCATACTTCACAACAAAATAGTGTTGCAGAGCGAAGGAATCGTATATTACTAGATATGATTAGATCGATGATGGCACATGCCAACATCTCTAATAATTTTTGGGGAGATGCGTTGCATACAACAACCTCCATCCTTAACCGTGTACTAAGTAAAAGTGTACCCATCACTTCATATGAGTTATGGAATAGTAAAAAATCCATTTTGGATTATTTACATCCTTGGGGGTCGGCAAGCTATGTGCATAACCCAACCCACAAGCACGAAAAATTAGGTCTAAGAATAATTAAAATTGTGTTAATCAAATATCCCGAACATTCAAAAGAATATAAAATGTTTGGAGAACACCCAAATGGTGACATGACTAAAATAAAGTCCCGCAATGTTGATTTCCTTGAGGATGAGTTCCCAAACATTGGTAAAATAAAAT